CACAACATATATAAATCGACTCAGTTTTTAACGCTGATTCTGAATCTGATATTAGTTTTGAACCGAATCATAGTTTTGTGTACTCAAAAAGTGAGTACACTATAGAATAGTCAGTGTGTCCAAACGTCCGATTGGCTGTTTGCATAATAACTTTTGACAGCAGAGTCAGATTGTGATGAAACTTTCTACAAAGCTTACGAGGGAGCATTCTCAACTGTCACATCGCTTTTAAGCTGAACGTATGCGCATTATGTAGACCCTCACGATCTATGAATTCTCTGAAAAAAGTTCGTGCTGCTAGCTTATTATTGCCGAGATACAGTGTTTTTACTGTATGTTTAAGAAAAAGAAAGCCGTACTCCCCCTCAGGAACATCGGAAAACTTAATTTCGAATTTTGTCTTGAAACTTTGCATAGATATAGGCATCAATGAGAATACTTTATTGTGAAAGTTTCAGCTCTTTTCGCTGTTCCTATCCTAAGATATAGCTATCGTAAAATTATTCATATACACCAGCAGATCCGATGTTCTTATCTCAGACTAGGAGCAAGCAAAAAATCTGAAACCTTCACAATAAACTATTCTCATTGAGGCTTGTCTACATTCAAAGTTTCAGGTGGAAACTCAAAAATCACTTTTCCTGATGTTCCTGAGGGGGACCACGGCTTTTTCCTTAAACATACAGTAAAAATGCTGTATCTCAGCAGTAAGAAGCTAGCAGCACGAACTTTTTTCAGGACATTCATAGGTCATTAGAGTCTACATAATGCCCATACGCTCGACTCAAAAGCGATGTGACAGCTGGGAACGTTCCCTCGTAAGAACAAATAGTACCTTTAAAGTGTTATTAGAAATCCAATAGGGTATCACTTTTTTTGCAATTGTTCACTAACAACGAAAAACATTATTCTTATTCAATATGTGTGCGATGTCAAGTTTAGTTTTATTTTATTGTAGTTGCTCTTATTTTTAATTGTCTATTTTATTTTTACTAACCTTTTTCTTATCTTAGAAAATAAATCATGAATATTTTTCTCATAAAATAAGTACTAAAAGCTAGGTTTCACAATCGATAGTATTCACTCATTATGCAATATAACCAATAGAAGAAAATGCAATAGGAAGAGTGAACAAATTTTCAACGTTGATCTAGGCTAAGGCTTCTTTTGCTAATTTCTGGTCAATGTACATCATTTTTTCGAAACAATGAATATCGAAATATCAGTAATCGTTTCTACGTTTCAGTAAATCCTTTAAGAACCTTGCTGAGTTTTTGCTTTTCATAAAATGAGTTTTGAAACTGTTCCGATGAGACACACTTTTTCTCGACGAACATAAGTCTGTTGAATATCAATAATAACTAGAGGAGCATCGGGTTGAACATGACTAGGATTTGACCTACATAGCTCGTCAAAAATTATCTAGGAATAAAACAATCTGTCTCGATCGTAGGTTCTTGAATCTTGCAGACAAGTCAATCTGTTCTATTTTTTGTCGGTATTGCATTCGACTGAATGAAGAATCTTCTATACCATTTTGTGTAGTCTTTTTCTGATCATTCTTGAATGGTACATAAAGAATTCGACGAACTTTCTGTACAATGAAACTTCTTGATGACAAAGACTTGTAATGAGACATGATTATCATGATAAACAATATTGATCAAGATCATTTTTTATGAATGTAGCACTAGATGATGACAAGGAGAAAGATGAACATTGATATCAACGAACAAGCATAGAGAGAGAGATGAGGGTGGGGCGTGGGTGGGTGTGGGTGTGGCGGGTGTGGATTTTTTCTTCACTCAAGCCCATACCTCCACCCACCCACCCACACCCGAGTTGTTGAAATTTCTCACTTGTATGAATTCAATTCTTTGTTTATCGAAGCAACTAATTATCATTGCTTACTTTTATTTCTTTCTAACGATTTTCGAATATCAAAAGTATCATTTTGACTCTATCATTGTATTTAGCAAATTAGTTTTCTGAATAATTGATTCAATTTTGATAATAAACTTGCAATTTCTAGAGCGTTTATTTCAGTGCTACAGTGGCAAATTTCAGCATCTCGCATAATTTCCTTTTAGCCCTTTCAACATCTATTGAAAAGACTCAAAAAGATCTTTTACTTGATTTAGTTTAGAGAATTTAACGGCATATCTTGTGCAAAAATACCTTCAAGTTTTGATGATTTGTCTGTGTCGAAATAAATGTAAAATAAATATTATTACAAATATTTTTCTTATCCTCGAAAAAATCGAAAATAGCGACGTTTCGCACAATTTTATATTTAGTTTTTCAAAAATCTATGGCAAAAAGTCAGAAGAAAGCTTTATTACATTTGTTGTAGCGGGTTCGATGACGTATCTTTTGGAAGAAATTTAAGATTTTATTTTTTGTTTGTAGAAAGATATATGCAAGATAGACTATGTTGTAAACATTCTGGGACATTCGGCATAAAATTGTACCCATTTTACTGACTAGTAATGATTTTCAATTATTGACAGGGGGAGACCGGTACACTACAACTTCTATAGGTCTTGCTTGTGGAAATATGGAGTGTTTTTAAAACTTCATATCTCGGTAAGAAAGCATCGTTAAATTACTTTCGTAGTAAATCTTCAACATTAGTTTTTCGTTGATCTGTTGAACTTTCACGTTGACAAACGGAAACTGTACATGTTATTGACACTTTTCCATATTTATTTTTTAAACGCAATTTATATATTCCAGCATCTTCAAGATAAACTTCTTTCATAATTAATTGTGCTAATTCATTTGGTTTAAAATTAATTGTGGTAAATACATTTGAACGAAACATAATACCATCAAAAAGCCATGTTGCTTCAACATCACTACCTTCAAATTAACATTCTAATTCAAGAGAAACACCTTCATGTAAATTTAAATTTTCAAGTTCATGATAATACGTGGTTTTTTAAGTTCATTTTCAGGTAAATCTAAACAAAAAATATTAAGAAAATTAATTTAAATGAAAAGAGAGAAAGTTAATATTTAATACCTTCAACTGTTACTTGACAAGTGCTTTCTTGTCCTCTATCATCATCAACACGAATTGTATATTCTTCTGGTTGAACACCATGTGGAATATAAAGACTATATCTTAAACCTTCATTTATCATTTGATTTTTTTCATCTATTGGTTAATCAGCGAATCGTAGGTTGAGATTGTAGTCATGACAATAGCAGCATCAGTGAATGAAACATATTAAAATAAGTCAAGGATAATATTTAACATCGATAAATGAATTCGTTCTCTTTTTTCCGATTTGAAGAAAGCACTTGTCAAGTAACAGTTGAAGGTATTAAATATTAACTTTCTCTCTTTTCATTTAAATTAATTTTCTTAATATTTTTTGTTTAGATTTA